TCTAGCTATATTTAATAGTTATCTAGGACTACGATTACCAAATATTATCTTCAATATATCATATTTATCAGTCCGAGCAGCGTTTATTTATTTATAAACTACTATTACAATTATGAAACTAGTTGTCTAAGCGTCAACAGCTAGAGGTGCAAAATCCAAAACTGTTTAGACGTATACGGTAGTCGGTTATCGTATGGATACAGTCGGTATTGTGCTGGACAGCTTACACTATACGGGTTACAGAGAAGGAATTTTTGCAATTGTGTTTCGCATTTCTCATCAACATGCACGCAAATACACTGTATTTCATTAGTAACAGTGATTATACGCCAGGATATAATAAGCCCGAAAAACGTAACAAATATGTTATAATATACTTTATTGCATCCTTAGAAATACACATTTCTTTTGGTTTACAGCAACAAAACGACAACAATGTTTTTTTTTAAACTAGTATAAAACTAAGTATTAATATGAACAGTAATGAGTTGCTAGCACTCGATATTTGTAAATGTCTGTGAAAGCGATTTTTTTTTGCGTGGCGTCAAGTCCTTATGTAAATAATGTCGCCCCTGAAACCATTTACGCAGGGATCCTGAGGCAAGGATACCTCCAATGCACTAAAAAAGACATTCTTTTCACCTAATTCAGTATACTCACTAAATTATCCTACCGATCACTAAACCATTTTAACATGGAGCCACTGATTAGTTTAATATATTGTGTTTGCATTATTGAGTTACAGTAAGATATACTTTATTTTAGCTGCAATTAATTTTCACTGAGAAGACGTTTTACTAATTTTGTGTAAAGTTTATTTTCACTGATTTTTGACGTGTTGAATGTAAAATATAGAAAAAATGGTATATTCGCTGGATTTTATTTTCACTGAATCGTCCCTTCAGCAAAAATAAAGTTATTTACATTAGGCTGTTTACACTATTTACTAGTGATACAGGGCACTAACTGCTACCACATACGTCTGTGCCATCACGTAGCGGATGATTTCAGTACATGCATGTATACTATCAACACAACAAACCAATTCCCATATTTTTTTTAAATATTAATAAATTACACAACGCAAACTGAATTGGGATTTTTATTGGCTCATAGAATAATATTAGAACATTTTCGTAAGACATCATTGCACACACATTCTTTGATTGGCTGGTTAGTTTCACACTTTGCGCTCTAGTTACGCATTTTGCACCACTATTCTACCACTTTGCACTGTAGTTTTGCACTTTTCACTACTAATTCTCTACCTTGCTTTCTTGTTTCGTACTTTGCACCACTACTTCACTACATTGCACTCCACTTTCACACTACTATTCTACTACTTTACACCGTAGTTTCACACTTTGCACTATAGTTACGCATTTTGCACTACTATTCTACTGCTTTGCACTGCAGTTTCGCACTTTTCGCCACTATTTCACTACATTGCTCTCTTGTTTCACACTTTGCACAAACACTTTGCACCACTGTTCCACTAATTTGTTCTGGTTTCGCATCACTATTCCACTTCTTTCCTCTCTATTTTCATCCTTTACACTCTAGTTACGCAATTTGCACCACTATTCTACAACTTTGCACTGTAGTTTTGCACTTTTCACTACTAATTCTCTACCTTGCTTTCTTGTTTCGTACTTTGCACCACTACTTCACTACATTGCACTCCACTTTCACACTACTTTACACCGTAGTTTCACACTTTGCTCCACTAATTTGCACTCTAGATTTGTACTTTCCATCACTATTCTAGTGTACAATTCAACTGTCATTGAAATTTATAAATATTTATAAAAAAATATTGAAACTGGTTTGTTGTGTCAATAGCAATGATAGTTCATGAAAAAGTTTCACTAAGGTGTCGAAACAATTGTGTTATAATTTGTTTTTTAACAAATGTTTTCACGTATTGGGTACTTAGCATATACCATTATGTGTGCATATTAATAAAATAATATGAATTGAAATAAATAAATTTTCAAGTCATGAGACATATGCAAATGAATAAATTGAACCTAATATAAATCATACACTGAGCATGTTTTTTTCATTTTTTTAAATTTAATCTCACAAAAACTAACATTTACATAGCAAAAAGGCTGAATTACATTATGTTAATATGAACTGTTCCCAAGTCATTGAAAACAAAATACAATTTACTATGTAAAAGTGTTTAAGTGTATACCGTGTATATATTCACTTATATATCAGCCAATCGTGAACGCAAGTGCTTGGCCCGAAAGAGTTTTAGTACGCAAGTATTATCCGCGTCGTGAATAACTTTCTTATGTCAGATTTTAAAATTGTAACTTATAACTGTAGATCGGTCAAAAATAGTAGACCGATTGTCACCGAACTCTGCGATAAGCACGACAATTGTCTTTTACAAGAACACTGGCTCGTCAAGGATGATCTTGAATTTTTATCTACTATTCACAATGACTTCCATGCATATGGCGTTTCTGCTGTCGACACTAGTACTGACATCCCCTTGGGACGTCCCTTCGGAGGGACAGCTATTCTTTGGAGTAAAACAATAGGAAGTTCGCTAAAGATTAAGCCACTGAACGACCCCAGACTTCTTGGCGCAGAAATTACTTTTGGAGAGGATAGCAAACTGTTTATCTTGTGTGTGTACCTCCCGACTAATAGTGTTGAGAACCAAGACGAGTATGTTGACTATCTTGGTAAAATAAATGCCATTATCCAGGAGGTCGATACTCCGAACGTCTTTGTGATAGGGGACTGGAATACAGATCCGCGGTCGTATTCACGTTATTGTAATGAGCTACGCGAGCTTTGTAACGA